TTCCTGTCCCCAGACAGATATTTGCTACCGTTAATCCCATCTCCCCCCCCATAGTTTCCCACTATTGTCAGTCATTTTCTTATAGTATTACATTGGATGTTCAAGGTCCATTATATGAGTGAGAACATGTGATACTCGGATCTTTGTTTCTGTGAGAGGTCACTCAGTATTATAGACTCTAGTTCCATCCAGGTTGCTGCGAAATTCATAGGTTCTAGTGACTAAATATAACTTTAGGAAAAGCAATGATTTTTTAGTCTGTTTTGTTTGTTTGCATCCTCAATGTCTAGAGGGGTGCTAGTACATAGTGGGTATTCATTAAGTATTTGTTGAATGAACAAATAAATGAATGAATGAGAAAGATACGAGCACCAAGATTGAGGTTCTTGAACGGAAGAATCATATGATAGAAATAGTTTCCAGGGGAGAGTGTTCTTATAAATGTGTAATGGATAATCTAACTATGTAAAGGGACAGAGACAAATATATCAACATGGCATGACATGAAGACTTAAATAAGAGTCATGTCACAGGAAGAGAAAAGTGAGGCAGAAGAAAAAAATGGAGGAAAAAGGACTTGATATGAATTTGGATCTGGAAGCACAGGATGTTCTTTATGAGCCAATGACATGCGATGGGAAACTTCACAATCATTTGGATTTGAACACATTTTTTAAAAAATGCTCACTTGGGAAATTATGCACTAATGGTTTTATTTATTGAAATATAAAAATGGCTTCAGAATCCTTCATAAAACAATGAACCAACTGTAATTTCTTAGCATAATATGTTCTAACTTGGGCAAATCTTGTTTTCCCAGGGTATCTTTGAAACTATTTTTTTTTTAATTGTGGCAACTTTTCACTGTAAAATAACCCCAGTGGAGTAACTGATGAGATTCACAATGCAGGCTTATCAGTGCCACTAGGGGTTCTATATCTAACTGTTTTAGTGTTCATCTGTCCTGTTTCATAATCATTTCAAATTACTACTTCTACTGTGCATCTCTCAAATGAACCTTGCCATTCGCTATAGATTGACTGATAACCTTATTTCAATCAAGTGTCAGGAAATAAACTAAATTGCTTTGATGTGAAAAATTACTTCTTTGCTTTTATAAGTGAGTGCTTCTAACATATTCTGTATTATTAGAGAGGCCTACTTAAAAGCCAAAACTATTGATCTGAATATTTAAATTCTAGAATTTGCAGCACCTTAGATAAGCTAAGGTAACTGTTTTCTACTTGATTAATGACAGCAAGCATTAAACTGCAGTAGCTGGCATATGGGAAATTGCTGAGAATGAAGAGCCCATATTTTGGCTGACATGCTGTTTGCCGCTTTCAATTCTCCTTTTATTTTATCAAGTTCACATGAAGGAGAGAAAAGGCACTGAGTGATGTTGAGAACAATTATAGCACCTTTCTTTTTCTTTCCTGCAAAAAAGAATAACTTTTTAAATTTACTTTCCTGCCAATATCTTTTCCATCTCACATATTTCATTCCTTTTTTAATGACAAATGTTATGAAAGTGGCCTTGATCACCACCCACTCTGACCTTTCTTAAGAGTTTAAGCTCTGTAAAAGCTAACGGAACCTCCCTATGAAAATGCCATTGTCCATTGCTGCCTCCAACTCATTATCAGCACGTTGAAACAAAATAGGAAGATGAAGAAGAATGTCGGGGAAGCTGGGGTGCAAACTTGGGGAAAAATCCCTCACCAAAAAAAAGGCAGACCTTTTCTGCTTCTGGAAAACTGTTTCGCTATTTCATCCTTTCAATTATTATGCATTTATTTGTAAAAATTTTCTTTTTTCTTTATACTCTATGACACAATGTGACCTTGGATCTGCCACTTACTAACTAAGTGAACTTGAGAAAGTTTAGACTCTCAGCACCTTACTTTCTTGAAATGTAAAGAGAATATAATAATAGAATTTACCTATTAGGTTTGCTGAGAATATTAAATGGGTCAATAAATGTAAAGTGCTTATGACATTGTGTAGTGTATATATATATATATATATATACATATATATATATATGCACTATGTTAGTGTTAATTACTATCATTTTGCTCATATTTGGTGCAGACCTTTGCAACAGTATTTTTGAATCAATAAAAGTTCAGTTCTTTTTTTTTCCTCCTTATAGAAGACAAAATGTTAGACGTTGAAATTTTAGACAATTTAGAATAATGATAAAGAAGAAAAAAAAAGTCCCCTCTGTAATCTTACTACCTAAAGGTAGTAACTACTCCCATTATTTAGTGGCCTTCCCTCATAACTATTATTAAGTTCATTCATCCTTTTCTGCTTCCTTCCACTACTACCTTTGCTCTAGACACAGCAGAAAGCACAACATTTTTTTTTTTATAGAGAGAAATGAATTTAAAATGGCAAGCAATTAGAAAGTAGGAATCCTGGCTTCCACTCCCTGCACTTCCTAGGCCATTTAAGCAACACCGAGCATTTCACTTCCTATTGTTGCCCTTTTATTGCTCCACTGAACTATTGCAAAACTGGGATAACAAGGACTTCCCTCTGTGTTCTTTAAGATGTTGCTGAGATACATCCGTTAATTTCCCAAAAGAAAGTTGATACACAGAAAGGGGCAAAGCCCAAGTAGATGAGTGTAGTATAACTAGAAGCTTAGTCTAGAGAGGATGTGTTTCAACAAATTCTGAGAGGAAGCAAAAGACAGGAAGTGGCTACACTCTCTCCGGAACTATAGGAACTAAAAAGAGGTCTCCTCTAAACTATTCACAATAATGCATTATTGTTTTTAAAGAATGTCCTCTGGCATGCATTTAGACTAATGGTAAAAAAAAAAGAATTTCATAATAAATATCTGCGAATTTTATCACTTTCTGTAAAACCCTGTGATAAGCCAAGAGAGAACTCTGTGAAATTAGGATAGTTGTGCTCCTCATTTAAATTCACTCTAATGTCTTAATATGCATGTCTCCTGTGGTTATAAAACACTATTTTAATCTAATCTGAACCCTCAAGTATCATCTCCATACCAAGCAAATAAATGATTCACTTGTTCAAAATTAAATGAATCATTCTAAAATTGGGTGATTTTCATAAACATGTGAGACATTAGTTTCTTGTGCCAAGACAACGAAAATAATTTGTCATTTTAATTCATTATTGGCTTTTTTGCTTCAGGTCTTTGCCTACCTAATGTTGAGAGACTTTTTCCGAAGTTCACTCCACTTGAAGTTCATGTTATCCAAACGTCTTTGTAACAAGACTGCATCATCAGAACCTTCCAAGGATCTCAGGATTTTCTGGCCATTTTCATCCAGGTTGTGATAGAGATCCGTGTGAGCTTCGATTTCTCCTTGTAGGTCCTACGGGACAGCAGGAAGAATACATGCAGAATTACCAAACAAAAGAAACCAGCTATGAATGTGAATTTGGAGAACAGCAAAAAATACATTAGTTCAAAAGACATTTCAATCAGACCAACTAACAAAAAGATACACTTCAAATCAGTTTTCTTGGTATATTGTCTCTTTTTATTATTATGTAGATTGAAAATGGGCATCTTATTAGGTGTAATAAATTTGTTCCTTGCCATTATGAGCTGGAAAGCAATATACCTATAACTTTGTAAATTTCATAATTTATATCCTCCAGTCCATGGACAAAATATATTGTTTTATCAAAGTGAGATGAAGTAAAATTCCATGATAAAGAATACCCCAGTGCCAATCATTCCATTACAATATCGGTTAAGTCATATTTTTCAAGCATATAGTAATTGTAGAGTTGACTCTGACTGTAAAAGCTTACTGAAACTAATAAACTAGGTTGTACTTTGTCTACAACATCGACACATTAACAGGAGTCTATTATGGTAAGAATCTTTTTGACAACACACATTAAGTTCACCTTGTCATTATAGCATCATACATAAATCACAGCATCACACATTTAAGATTTTTTTCATTTAAAATATCATCATATTTTAAGCGTGACAGGTGGAAAGTCCATAGGACCTTAGTAAGAGTTATGATAAGAGGTTATGCATTCAACCTCATTTGTATAAATACAGATCAAGAAAATCATCATAGTAGAAGAATCTGACCTTTACATGGTATGTCTTCCTGTGTAACATTTTCAGCTTGAACCGGGGACTACAGCACTGATCCTGTTGCATAGCAATCCTGAGAAAACCCAGAAATTGAAAGAGCCCTGCTTTAAAATGCCAACTTTGCTTACATTCTGTTGACAGAATGAATTTTGGAGCACAGGCTTCACCAGTTAATAATAATAAACGGCCACTTTGTACTCCTCTAAACGGTAGCCAGGCGTGTGGATGTGGGAGGGACCTCAAAGAGAGGAGGCCTGGAATATGCAACTGACAGTTTATATTAAACAGCCAACTTTTCTTATCATTTTGCCATTACAAGCCAGAGACATTATAAATTCATTTTATATATGTGTTTTCCTCCTTGTTCCCAGCAGAACAGTCAATGCCAAGGGAACATTCCTTAGAGAGCTGCTGGGTACCAGCATTCCTTTCAGCCTACACAATGAATGGAGGCTTTGTACATTATCTGACTTGCTCTTAGAAATTTGTATGCTTCTGTTCAACAAGTTTAAAAATTAATTCTGAAGCTCTGAACAATTGGATTGACCTGTGTAACTAGACAAATTTTTTTCCTCTTTATTTGTCTCTCTCTCTTTCTAAAATTGAATTAAATTGCTCTGCTAAAGTAAGGAGAAAAGTGGCAGCAATTACATGTTAAAAAATCAGGAGACTGCTTTATGTTTTCAGGCACAGTCTCTTAAGATGCAGAATTTTGAATGTTGCACGGGTAAGGTAGATAGACAATGAATGTCTCCTGTCACTCTTTTTGGCAGCCAAAGTATCACTGATGGGCTCAAAAGAGAGTTGTGTCCCATTCTCTTTGACTGGGAGACAGGGAGGGGAATATGAATAGAACCACATCGGAAGTTGAGAGAAGGGAAATACTGAAAGAGATTGATTAGCATCTATCTCTATCTCATCTCAGCCAGGCTTGGACTAGAAGGATATAGCTTGATTTTAAAACTTATGTGGTAAAATCTTATGTGAAAAAAACAAAACTAAACAAACAAAAAACTAGTCTTGGGCTTACTGTAGAATGGAGTTTGGTCAAATATACATCCATTTTATGTTTCTTTTTCTTTTTTTCCCTTTTATCTACATGGAATAAGATGAGTTGCCTAATTTGTTCCTTTTTTCAGGAAAAGAGAAAAGTGAGATAATTTATCTAAATATATCGGGACAAAAAACCAGATCTAAATCTCAGATAATTTCCTCACTTGTCTCTTTTACTTTACCTCTGTTAGGTTTAATTTGTATACTACTTAAAACCCTACCTCTGAGTACACACTTAGTTGATTAAAGTCACACTTTCAGTTGTTCAAGAATATTAAGTATTTTAACTAATAAGACTAGTTCTCTACACTAAGATGGCATATAAATGATACTATATTTGAATTTTTAAATCCTGCATTGAAAGCATAGACCCAGACTTAATTAGTAGTTCCTGAAGATTATGTATACCATGAAGCTACCAACACTTGCTTTGTTAAATAAAAAAGGTCTTTTAAAGCAGAAACGGAATGCTGATTCATGAATTTGCTAAGGCTCATCTTTGCCATGTATGTTACACTGCATATAAACAAACATCTTTGTCATATCATCAGCAAAGAAAATAATATGAAATTGATAAACAAGTATTTATTGAGTACTGATTATTTGTCTTGCCTTGCACCATGAGAAATATAAGAGGAGTTCAAGTGACAGTTCTGTCTTTAATTTTCCTAAAATCCAGTGCAAACCTTTTGTTTAATTCATTTATGTTGTCATCTAAATATTGATGTAAATTTTCTGCCAAATCTCATAGATAATGGAATAAAAACGTATCCCTTTAAAAATGCAGAAGTGGCTGAAGTAAATTCATAGTAGTGGCAGGAAGGTAACTCTTACATCAGTACTACTTTTTTAGGTCATGATGGTGGTTTAAATAAAAAAATGTACAGTAAAGGGCCTTATAGGTTACAAAGCACTTACAGATGTACCACCTTAGTTATTCTTTCCCTGGTTCTAGGAAGTACATCACATTTTCTGTTTTACAGAAGTGAGCACTGAGGCTCAGAGATGTTTAACTAACTTGCCTAAAAGTCATATATCCAATAAGTGTTAGAACTGGGAAATAGATCCAGTTCTCTTGACTCTAGAAGATCTTGGACTGTCTGCACCAACCCATTTGTTATAAGCATTGGATGTGATATACAGTAGTCACTGAAGCTGAGCAAGGACACTACTTACAAGAGGAAGAAAATGACTGTTGAGGGAAAAGCACACTGAAAGACAGCATTTCTGAGTATGATAAAACATTTACTCACATGGATTGATTTGTTCTGAGTGAAAAACTGGATTCTGACTACCTTTTTCACTTCTGATTTTTGCAATTGAGGACCCTGAATCACTTGTGAGCAAAAATTGCACTGAAAAAGTCTCTTTACTGCAAAATATCCCCGCAGCCAGAACAGAAATTGTCCCATCAGAAATTCATATATTTGTCTACAAGAGCCATGTGAACTATGAGCAACACCAAGTAGTGACTTGACACATCAGCATAAACATAGTTCGACCATGTTTTTCGGGACAGCAAGCTGGTAGGGAATCTTTCTAGCTACAGGAGTCAGGTAGATTACCCTAAAAGGAAGGTATCAGTGAAGAACAGAAGGTTCTCTTTCAAAGTCTGGCATACTCTCATGGAGATTTCTCCGTACCAATAGGCAGCGTGAGTCTTATGTGGGAAGGACAGGGCAGGTAGGAAGGAACATACATTTGCATAAAACTACCGTAATTACATCTGTCTCTTTTTTTCTTTTTAATTCTCATGAAGGTGTGATCCCAGATATCTGTCTTAAGACTAAACCTTAGACTTAGGTAGCACAGAAAAGCAAAAGTTGATACAGAGAATTAAGTGGGGTTCTCAGAGGATAGTCAATATGAACAAAAGGTAATTTTCTTAAGAAATTTTCATAGTTTTATTTCACTTCTGACTAAACTAGAAAAGATCACTCAAGCCTTAGTTATGCCATTCACTATATGCGGTCTAATTTTTCTTTTATTTTCATGACTGTATTTTTTAGGAAGAGCAATAACTAATGAAAAGGGGGAAAGGTGTTTGTTACATAACAACAAAAATCAAAGTGGCAACAACAGCAACAATATATATAAGACTTACTATACACCAGGCACCGTCCAAAGCACTGTAGATACATGAGCTCATTTTATCCTCTCAATAACCCTCTAGGGTAGGCATTATTACTATCTTCATTTTCCATATAAGAGAATGAAATTACAGAAAAGTTGACTAAAAATGCCCAGGGTCACATAGCTAATAAATGATGCAGCAAGATTTCAAACTCAGTCAGACCCCAGGGATTGTGCTTTTAACCACTATATTACTTCTGAGTTGGAGCTTGTTGATGGAAGTTTTTTTTCTATTAATAATATCCCCATCTAAATTTCAGCAAGTCTAGCACTGCCATTAGACAATGAAGGATAACATTGTTTTCAGCACTCAAAGAGTAATTTTATGTTCTTATTAATACAGAGACTAGTAAACAGATCTGTAGCAGTAGACAGAGATGAATCCAATACAACAAGAGAGAACACAAAGTAATTGAGAAAACGGGTGCAAGTGAAAACATAATGTGTGTCACCCAAAGGAAACATATAGCATGATGTTCTATACAATTATAGAGCAAATTCAGCTGTGAGTATCAAAAAAGGTTTAGATACAATGTAAAAAATATGTTCATAGTATAGTGGTTTTAGGAATAAGGGGGATCTTGTTTCCGGGAGGTATTTACAAATCCCACACTTGCTTTCAATTTAAGAGACTAGCCTATTCTGTTGTGAGCCCACTTTCTTAGTCTTCAAGGAAAAGTCATGGCAAAGTGCATTAAATAGACCTAGGTTTGACTCTCCTCTTTCTCTTTTCCTCATAAACTGCATAATTATAAAAACTCTTTAATTTTTTTTTTGCTTCACCAAATATTAAATTATAACATCTACCTGTTCCCTTGTTTTGAATATTCCATGAAATAATTTTTGTAAAATACTTTGAATGGCTAATGTAAGGCATACTTTCATAAGAGAATCCACATGGAAATCAAGTGACAGAAATAGACTTCATGAAGTCATCCTACTTGGCTTAAAACTTAAGGGATGGAGAGGGTTGAGAAAGGTGGAGAAAACAAGATATTCCAGGAAAATGGATACCATGGAAATGGCATAAAGGTGAAATAAGTTTAGTTTATCATCAGGGACAATGAG